GAAGTCAATCGTAGATTAAAACTGTTTAGACTTATGGTTGTTAGGCTTTTTGGATATTTTAATTAAAAATCATTGTTGAGCTTACCTTTCAGCAGAGGCAGAGGAGTTAACTCAATAGGCTTGCCCTGAGACCTAAACTGGGAGGAGCTTTGTGACCTCTTCTGTCTGGCTTTTCTGACGGACTTCCGAGAAAATCCGTCTACTTTATCCACTGATGGAGGAGTAGTTGGTGCTGAGGACATATCCCTACTGAAGGAAAACAAGTATTACAAATACGTTCCAAAATTGATGAAATGGATAAAGATTAACTGACATTTTCCAACCCCCTTGCTCTGCCTTCGCTGTTCTCCTGACAACTTATCCAGACAGACCGTCTGGGAGATAACCCACCAATACACGTGCAGGTCTTATGGAATAAATTATAGGAATGGTGCAATTGTCCTTCTCCCTCTCTTGTTTTATCTGCCTCATTTTTACCAAAAACCCTACAACAGGAAAAATTCTGACCTAATGATGACATCATTATGTCAACAGAACTTCATACACCTGTAGACTCAACAAAGGATTGAAGCCTAGAACTCATGCTGGAAAGCATGATGCAAGCTAAATGATCTCAAGAACGTATATGGTGTATATATATATATATATGATAACTCAAGAAGGTATAAATATCTTTGTCACTTTAGAGTCATCAAAGTGCACAGAAGAAAAAAATCAGCTTATTTACCATACTTACATATACGACTTTATAGCAACACTAAAAAGTACCACAAGTAGTAGTACCACACTTCACAATTTCAGCAAAACTGACAAAATTTCACATACTGCTCTTTACTCTCCATTTCAGACTTTCTGTTTTTGTACCGAGTCTCTTAGTACACAGTTATTCCATGCTATGGCATTTAAGCAATAATAGCAGTATGGTAGCCATAATAGTTCTAAGGGCACAAGCCACACAAGGTTTGCAGAGAGGCAGAGAGCCAAAAAAGGTTTCTGTGAGCAGAAGTTTGTTTGCTTCCCAACTCTATCAGCTGGTCTGAGAAATAAGCATTGCCTCTTCCTATAAAACATGCCCTAGTAATGCTGCTGCAGCTAATTCCATACTACTGAGAAATATCAAAAAGAAGCTTTTAAAGAGTGAATTCCTCCAACTAGCTATTGTATTTAGCAGCCTGTCTGGCCTGTTAAAAAGACACATTGCATCTTGGTGCAATACATGAGTAATACTTCAGGAAAACAAGACAGGAGGAATTTCGGCCTACGTATTTCAAGCAGCTCTGCATACAGTTAACTTCACCAGCGTGTGCACCTCTATTATTCGTATTAGCAATGCCATTATTAGGCAGAGCACTCTGCCAGTTTCAGTAGGGCCACACACTCATGCAAAGTTAAGCATCGGCATAAGCACTTGCAGGATCAGGGTCTTAGAACATGTCCTTGGAAAGCATTACTCATCCTCAATGTCTGTTGACTTCAATTACCACAGTGACTCGCAGGCGAAAAGAAGTTGATTCCACACGATCGAGAACGCTTTCAAGTACTTATTTTATTAAAATATTTGGTTACTCATACGCTGCATAAATTATTAAAGCCATTGAAACAGACATTATTATTCAGATCCGTCTTTTACAAGAAATAGAAAGTACAATTTAAGGCAACTGTAAGCAAATTCAGAAAGATAAGAACTGTTTAATGCAAAATTATATATATGTGCACTAAATCTCTCAAAAATGGAAGTACAAACTCCACAGCTTCTCCAAGGCAGCATGTGCAGCACCAGATGCTGAGCTGTGCAGCTGGCACTGCTGTCACGAGAAAGCCTCACACCATCCTTTTCATTTTTCCTAAGGTCCTCTCCACCACCAGCTTATACTTTCCAAATATAATATAGTGTCAGCAATGCGATCCCATCCCTTACACAAGGTTTGTTAGCCATCCAGGGGGGAAGAAATGCCCCCATCAGCGGGGCATCCAGGCCCCAGCCGAGATTAACAAATAAAGAAGTCTGATAAACTGAAATAGAACGGCCTGCGCTCCGACACCCGCTTCTAAGGTTCCAAAGCTCCGCCAAAAATATATCTAAGCACAAAGTTACCTGTTACATAAACCCAAATTATGGAAAATAGCAGCAGAAACACACAGCTAAAAGCCGGAGCCGATGGCCTTGTTTCATCTCATCGAAAAGATTCCTCTGCCTGTCACGTGTGTGGCTGAAGTGTAACCATCCCTGCACTCTCTCTCTGGAGATGAAATCACCAAAATAATAACAATGCTAATAACAACGAGCAGCGAGCGGAGCGGATGGCCCAGCTGCAGGATCATGGTGTCAGCGCTGAGCCTCACCAGCATTTCTCCACTGTAAATTTAGTAACAGTTTCCCTCACCTGCGTTATAAATTATTAAAGCCTCATTCTAATTCCACAAGGCAGCATCCAGCCTGACAACCCCGTGGTAAACAGCGATCCCTTTTTTTTTTTTTTTTTTTTTCATCCTTTCGATGATGAACGCGCCGTAAGGGCGAAACACGCGATTCCAGCGGGGTGGGGGGAGGAAAAAAAAAAGCAAAAAACAAAAAAAACCCCAACAACCTGAGATTATTTAATGCGTGTAGGAAAGCTGTGGAGCTTAAGCGCCGTTTCTCCCAAGGAGGGGCCGTATTCTCGCAGGATGGAGTGCCGGGAGGAAGGAGAAGCCACGCACCCCAGATCGGGGGGGGGGGCGAGGCGAGGGGACGTGAAAATAGCGACGGAACGCACCGGGAGGCCCGGGCCGCCACGCCGCCATCCGCTGCCTCCCGCCCGCTGCCATCGGCTGTCATTTCCCGGCGGGAGCCCCGCAGCTGGAACACGTCCTCCCGCAGCCCCCTCACCGCCACCTTCCTCTTCCCCCGGGCCTCCTCCTCCCCGCGCCGCGATGGAGTTACCTTGACCCTCCCGGTTGAGAAGCCGGAGACGGGGGGGAGGCGGCGGCCTGAGCCGGGCTCGGCGGAGCGCGGCCGATGCCTGGAGTGCGGTACGCGCCGGGCTCGGTCCCCGCCGCGGCGGCGCAGCAGCCTGTAGGCCTCGGCGGCGTCGGCGGCCTCCCCGGCGCAGGGCGGCGTTGGCGGCGGCTTCAGGAGCGGGCGGCTGCTCGGGCTGCGCTCAGTCCCATGCACTCGGCGCGGCCCCCTGCCTGCGACGCCCGCTGCCTCACTCACATTCCCGGCGGAGCCCTGCGGAGGGGCCCCGAGGAGGCGGCGGAGGGGAAGGGGGGGCAAAGGGGGGGGGTGAAACGCGGGGGGAGCCGAGCCGAGGCGAGGGGGAGCGGCGGGCGCGGTGCGGGCGGCCCCGCGAAGGGAGGGCAGGCCTCTTCCGCCGGCGGCTGCCTCAGGTGAGCGACGGGGTCCCTGCGGGCGTCGGGGTCGCGCTCCGGCTCGCTCCTATTGTCGCTCTCAGCGGGCTCCGGCCATGGCACTCGCTCGCACACACGCACGCACACACGCTCCCTCCCTCGCTCACAACCGAGCGTGCTGCCACCGCCCCCCGCCCTCCGTTCCCGCCCACCCGAGCGCCGCCGCCGGGACGCGCCGCCTCATTGGCGCCCGCCGCTGCCGCCGGGACAGCCGGGAAAGGAAGGGGAGCGCGGCCGGAGGAGGAGAGGGCGGCGGCAGCTCGCGGCGCTGTGGCCGGCGGCCCTTCTCGCCCATCCGCGGACCGGGCGGGAGCGAGGCACATCGGCTGAGGTAAAAACCTTGAAATCTGTGAGGGAAACCCCCGTGTTCCCGAGGTTAAAGCTAATATTCCCGAGGTAAAGCCCTCTAATCCTGAGGTAAAACGCCGCACTGGGCCCTGTGCCGGGCTCGGAGACCCTTCTCGGGGCTGCGGGCGGGACGGTCCCACCGCGGTGTCCAGAGGGACGCTCGGAAGGACGCTCCCAGGGGCGCTCCCTCAGCGCCCGCCGTGCTCTGAGCGCTCCACACAGATTCCCGCCCTCAGGGCTCTCCAGCCACCCCTGCTCCCTCTTTGTCACCTTTCCTAAAGTGTATTTATAGATGTGGCAGCCAGCAGGATGGCTGGGTGCAGGTAGCATCAAGAACTGTCGGAGTGCTGTTTAAATTCGTTTACTTGGGAAGCCTGATTTCTATCAGAACTCAAGCAGTGGTGTTCATGTGGCTGCTGTGTTTAAAAATGCTGTTCTCTGTGGTGTTTGTATTTCTGGTAGGAAAAGAAAAAGGAATCTAGAGGCTGCGGTGCTGGGTTGGTGTAGCCAAAGGCTTCTGATGCACATGAAGGGCAGTTTGAGGCAGTTACATCCCCTGTTTGTTCAGGTACTGAGTGCCCAAACCTTGAAAATGACCAATCCTGCAAAGGATTCCCACTTCTTGCCCACTCCCCAGAGAGGTGGGCAGCAGTGTTGGTGTATCAGAGGAGTTAGGACTCAGGTGGATTAAACTGAGAGTGATTGGAGCTGTTGGAAGAGCACTTTTAGACTCGCTGACTTTTAGCCTGGTGAGTTCTCTGTTCCAGCCCTCACTGCAGCCCCAAGGAGAAGCAGGAACTCAATAAATAAAAGCTTTCTGTTATGGAGGTATAGCTGTAATAAACGCAGTTCTGCTTCGCATCTCTCAGTGTGCCTCTTCCATGTCTCCCCTAATTTTTGCTATCTACAGACTAAACGATTTCACTTCTTCTTTCCTCATGAGCCCTAGTTTCAGTCCTCTGAGCATGCATATTTCCCCCCATTTTCTCTTAGAACCATCCACAGTTTCTGAACCACAGCACCCAAGACTGGATACAGTGCTACAGTCAAGTCCACCAGCATCTGCTATGTCATGCCCATCACACACTGTATTCCAGTTTACACACACCAATGCAAAGACTTTTCAGACAGTGATCTATTCACAGTATTGCTGACCTGTTTTACCCCATCATCCATTTCTCCTGACCTACCAGTTGTTTCTCCTTCAAGTAGACAGTAATGCTACTCAAGAATGATTTATTGCAACTGTCCTAATCCTTTCCTTTCTCTTTTATTGCTGGATAGATGGACAATCAAGCAGTCAAGACATCTTTTAAAACAAAATTCCACAGAATTAGAAAATAGGAAAACCTGTCATTTTTGTAAGTCAGCTGCATTCCTGGGTTAGAACTGTGTTATGGTTACAGAATTATTTATACACAATTAAAATTTTAAGTTCACTTACAGCAACTTAGCTAACATAATCTAAATGCAAAACGTACTCTGTAACAAATAATTTAAGTCAGTTTGTTGTCTACATCAGTGTTAGATAAATTTTTGCAAAAATGGTAACTTCCCATTGCTCTGATAAATGAGGAACCAAACCTGCAGATGCACATAGTTTGCTTTCTTACTTGTACTTAATTCTCTTACTTTTGTTTATCAGCCTAATTCTGAAGTACTCTGATTTATTCACTGCCCCCTGCACTTGTTTCCTTCTGGACTAAACAGTGCATTGGCAGCTCATAAGGTCACTGATGTCAAACTGTAAAAGGGAAGTTCTGCAGAGAGTGATGGCTGGACAGGCTTCTTAGATGAAGTTGAGCATGTCATTTTAAATGGTTGTGTTTAAGTCTTCCCATTACTAAATTAAATCCGTCAATGTTAAAAATCTAAAACTGGAGTGCCTGATATGGTTATTTATTGAAGTCTCTGCTGTAGAAGGGATAAAACTGAAGGCCACTATCCCAGTTTGATGTCCTGCCTGCAGGTTTTTACTTTTCATTCTGTCATTGTGAAATAGCTGTAGAATCAGTTCTTCACTATAACTGCACGATGGGGTAAAGAATGCATTTGGATAGTTTGGTTTCTCTGAAAACTGCTTCATCTGTTCATCCATTCTGACTGCGTAAAGCACTTTAATCGTGTGTTTTATATCAAGTGATACTTGTATGGTAATAATTAAAGAAAAATGCAAGGTTTTTGGTGAACAAGAAGGATCTTTCCTCTTCTTTAACACATGGCCAGCAGAGTTTACAGAGTTGCTTTCCCATCTTCTTCCAGGTTGTCATCTTTTTTCTGTTTCGGTCTGGAAGATTTCCATCTGTGAAGAGATTTAGCATCACAGCATAAGATACAAATGTAAAACTGCTAATATTTAGGAGGAGCTGTTACTTGGCTTTCTCCTATTTTCTTTTTGGTATAGGTTTTGTATAGCTTCAAAATGATTGCACAAACCGCGGGCAGTGATGGAGGAAAATAAATTTTAACAACTTAAAATATTTCACACATATGGATATTTTGTATATATTGTATATGTATAAATATATAAAATATATAAAACATCAATTTGCAGGAGTAAAAATTAAATGTCATCGGATAAGTTTCACAGGGAATGGAGTTGTACATGCAAGTGTGTGGGTCTGAAAATAGTCATGCATGCAAAATCTGCACCCCTTTCTGAAGATCTACAAGAAATAAAGTTTTTAATCACTGTATTTCTCTTGCTGTCAAAGGCACAAGATAAGCTCATTCTTTAAAAACTGCCTTACAGTTTTTGAAACCACGTAGGAAGGAATTTCCATGGCCACCTCTTCACCAGTCCTTTTTGGCACCCAAGCAGTCAGAACAGCAGTCAGGAGCCCTCCGAAACAGACATTTTGCACCAGTGACTCAGATTTGTTCCGCTTCACATTTTTTGTGACTGAAGTTCCACTATAGACCATCTGTTACGGCCACTCGGGCAGGAATACAAGCTCACATCCACGTTGGTGTTCTGTCTGCTCTTTACATAGAAACTTATCAAACAGGACTGCTAAACAGATAACAGTGTGGAAGACCTGCTCTACTGAGCAATAAACATAAATGGATTTAACTGGAGCTTGTAAATGTTTCAGGAAACACACCCAGCATGTATTTGTCTACAGTAAGGGTCATATAATAGTCCATAAAGATCTCCTGTAAGTCAAAAGGAGCATTATCAGTGGGCCTATGGGATTAGTTCAGATATTCCCAGTACCAATGCTAGTAAGCAAGAAAAGATGTGATCTCCCCAGAGAACTAATTATTCAGGCCAGCAGGAAGAAAGACCAGAAAGAGAAAATGTTACGGAGGAAGCAGCAGTGATGTTTGAAGAGGCAAATCAGTGTGTGAACAAGGCTTTTCTGATGCATCTTTTAACAAAAGTGAACAAGGTGGAATCCTGCATCAAAGTAACTGTCCTGCTCCATCAATTTGATTGAAACAGTACGATCTGACAGTTTTTTGCTTTTGAATCAAATTTGTCTGGATCAAAAAAAAAAATTATTTCAACTGTTTATGCTGCAGTTGATTTCTGCTTCTTATGCTTCATATTTTGGGGGGAAATGGTACGACCAATTTTTGGGCAATGTTTATAATCAGGGTCATATCTCAGTAATAAGAATATACCCTCAGGAACTGGAATCCTGATATGCAGAGTTGGGATAAGGATTTTAGGGTCACAGACACAACTACCCAAATGAGAACTAAGTCTTCTTCTCTGTTTATAGACACTGCGTCACTTGAAGTCTGTTTCTGTAGTCAACATGGTAAGATAAGTGGGATCTCACTCGCCTCTGCAGCTGGCTAGCTGCCTCCTCCTAGCATAACAAGCCTAGCTGCTTTCACTTAGTTCCCAATTACCTTTTTTGTTCTTTTTTGTTGTTGTTGTTGAATCCTTCCCCTCCCCCAGCTTCTTTACTTGCCTTCTAGCCCCAGGCACTCCTTTAGGCTTAGTTTTCCGAGCTTTTTGTTAACTTCCCTTCTCTGCCAGTTTCACTCTGCTTGCTTCTGGCAGCGCAGTGTCTTCCTCGCTGATGTCTCCAGCTGTCACTCCCTAACCTCTGGAGGTTTGAGGTTCCAGAAATCCCTGCGTTCTGAGGGCACTGCCTGTGGGGCTGCCTCTGGGGGCTGAAAGCACACGTGGAAATAGGGCACAGCCCATGTGCTTCGTTGTCCCCTGTACTGCTGGGGTATACCTGAATCACAATTTAAACAGCTCTCCTTCCATTTCTAATTCTGTTTCTTTGCTTTTTGATCAAGCCTCCTCATTTCAGTTGTTTCCTAGTTTAAAGCCATCCATTCATCCATTAAGATGAGCCCCCTCTGGTCTGGCCCAGCTTCCTACATCACCACGCTCCAAGAGAAACAAAATGGATACACAGAAATATGTGGTTAAGGTGTGCAACAGTATTTCGAGTGTGTGAACTGCTTTCATAGTGCTTCCCAAATCTCCAGCAAGATTCCTACCAGTTTCACTCTCAAGCTGGGTGCTTCTCCATGGTTCTAAAAACAGTTGATAATACATTTGAGATTTTCAGAAAGTACAGAGGCACTGAAGACTGACCAGGCCAAGACAGAATAATTGTTATAAAAGAGAGCAAGAAAGTATTCCTGTTCTATCTTTCTCAACTCTGCCTTCTTTGTGCTGTAGCACAGCTTCAACCTATTAGATACTTCTAAAGTTTTTAAATAATTGCAAATCAATCATATATTGGCAAGAAATGGAAGGGACCTAAGATGTTCATTTATATTCTGTAGCTCAACTCAGCATTTTAGGGAATGTTTAACATCAGAGGGGGATCTTACGCCACTTAAACACATTTAAAATATAAGTCCTAATGGGTTCCAAAGCTTGCAATACAAAGCTAGAGAGAGGAAAGAACTGCATAGGTGCCAAGGGCTTCTCCACAGAGCTTTTGAACTCTTGCAGATGTTAGGAGCAAAGATACTTCGACAGAAATGGCTAAGTGCTAGTTACAGATATAAAGACAAATCCTCCTGGGAGTCTGCTGCATCAGCAGGACTGCCCTCATGCTGAGCAGAACAAAGTAAAGAGGTTGGGAAGGAGCTGTGTGTTTCCCAGTCTTAAATTCTGAGAAAAATAATAGACAAAGGCATGGCAGGAGGAAGAATACAAATAAACTGCAGCAGAGGCAGAGGATAAACTTAGTTCACTGAGCGATGGATGTGGTAAAGACAGCTTAAGAGACTGCAGTTAGTATAGGCCATAAAGACCTGGAGCAACCCAGAACAACATTTTAGGCTGGAGATTACAGTGAAGGAAAGTAAGTTCTTTACTATGAGAGTGGTGAGGTGCTGGAACAGCTGCCCAGAGAGGTTGTGGATGCCCCAACCCTGGAGGTGTTCAAGGCCAGGTTGGATGGGGCCATGGGCAGCCTGGTCTGGTATGAAATGTGGAGGTTGGTGGCCCTGCATGTGGCAGGGAGTTGGAGATTCATGATCCTTGAGGTCCCTTCCAACCCTGGTCATTCTGTGATTCTGTGAAAGGGTCTTACTTCAAAAAGGGCCTTTGGCCTGAAGAAGAGAACAGGCAGGTAAGCAAAATCCTTTTTTTCCATACAAGAAAGAATTATTCTTCATCTGTTTCCTGCCCTAGTAGTCCCCCTCTGCATCCACTGTAAGCAAGGGAGAGCCATAAGCACTACAGTACAGACACAAACCAGTCAGTGTTGATGTCCACTCCCTGGCTGGGAGATACTGCAGTAGGAGCATTACCTGGAGAGGAATCTATGAATACTGAAATAGGAAGGATGGAAAAGAAAGTTTTAAGAACATTTTCTACAGTTCAAATCCACTGTCAAGGTTAAGCAAATAGGGCAATTTTACCACTGAGAAAATTATGTGAATAGGGAGAGATCTGCACCGGAATTACAGATGCCATATAAATGACAAGAAAGAAAGGAATTGTCTTCAGGTGGGAATGGGAACAAGACCTGAAATCATAAAGCAATGAATCCTAGAAAAACGCAGGAATTGATCAGATTTAAATAGAAAATAGCAAATAGCAGCTTAATATCCTGACTAAGCAGACAGTACAAAAATAGATAATCGGAGCAAGAACAAAAATGGTGTTGCAGCAACTGCTGGAAGTTTAAAGACTTAGTTGAAAAATGAGAATTTCTCACTTTAAATGAACACATTGATATAATTCATTTCTTTGAAAACACTGAAAAGGATTTGTATTCAAGCCTCTGCTGTATGTGATGACAAAAAGAGGCTGGAGTGTTAAGGCTGGGAAAGAAAATGGGGAACATCATTGTACAATCCATCATACATCCTTATTCTCAACTGTGTGTAATGTGGGAGAGATTGTATTCAGCAAAAAGAATACAGAGAAGGCAAAGAAAAGAAATGGCCTGCTGCAATTGCCATACAAGGAGGGGATTAATATACTGGGAATCTTGAACTTGTAAGAAGAAATGCTGGTATAATTCGGCAGAGGTCTGTCAGTATCGTTGATGGAGAATGAGTGATTTATTTTTCAGAACACTTTTGTATTATTTGATCTCGAATTATCTGGCAAGGTGAAATACTACAAACTTCCATATCCTGTTACAGAGGCAAAAGGTATAAGCAAGTTCAAAAATTAAAATGTGCTGAAGGACACCAAGGAGATTAGATTGTCCTTGTGCATGGACAGGACAGCATAATTGCAACATACATTACATATACAACACAGTAATGAGTTTGCAGGCTTATTTGCCACTAGATAAAAATGCAGCACTATTAGCTTTACAGATCTCTGGCGTAGAGAAGTCCAGACACCAGATGCAGAATAAGGTAACTCAGTAAATACAGAGGAATTTGAACCAATGTAAAATCTGTGACGTGTTAGGATAAGATTTGGCATTTTAAATTATTAAGTGGCTACATTGATATGTTATTCAACCCCTTTCTTACAGTTTTCAACATTCTTCAGTGTCGGGGTTTCCAAAAGGATTTATAGCAAGAAGGTATCACCAAGACTTGAATGAGAATAGATCAAAAATAGTATTGAGGTTTACTTTAAGAGAATGCAAGGAGGAATTAAAAACATCATTTGCAAAGGCACCACAAAACACCTCTGGAAAATTCATTTTCAGCTATATTTAGTACATTTGAAGAAATGGTGGCTCCCACTTGAGCTATATCAGCTCCAATACAGATAAACAATAGTCAGATTACATAGACTTGTCTTGAATAACTAAATATTTAATGCACTTGTGCACTTCTGAGTCATGTTTGGTTTTAGTATGCATCTTTTCAGGTGAGTTCCTGCCTCTAAGCAGTCTTACCTCATAACTGCAATTTCTGTAGGTGGACATCTGTACTTCATTTATTTAAGTCCATTCAATATCAAAAGTATGTCGAGACAATGAAACTAATGCTGAGAGCTTTTAGTACACAAATAGCTCTTCAGTACAAAGAGCCCTTCAGTGCACTCTTCCCTGCAATTTTTTTTCTACAATAATTCCAGTTCTCACTTCGTTTAGCTCTGATAGCTCCGTAAGCCTGGTTCTAGAAAATTTATCCTCATCTCATAGCACGACTGTTAGACAGACGCTGCAAGGACAGCAATGTCTGTCCCACTGAAGTTCTACAGTGTGGGTTTTTTTCCTTATACTGATTCATACCTAGATCAAATTCATATTATCATCTTAGGTTCCTTTTGTGAAAACTCACTGCAACTTCATTCAAGACCTCAAACACTGTCTATATAAGCCAGATCCTGGAAAATACAGAAGAAAAAAAAGCTTTACTCCATCTTGTATATAAAACATCTATTGCTGATACATGTGTAATTTTATTTGATTTGCAATACTTCACTTTTTTCTTTCTTGCCAAAACCAACAGTAGCTGTTGCTAATGCTGTTTGCCAGCATCTCCATCTGCATCTTTGGTTCCTTGTTGCCTTCTTGCTGTTAGCATTTAATCATAATCACAGAACAGCCTGGGTTGCAAAGGAGCACAATGCTCATCCAGTTCCAACCCCTGCTATGTGCAGGTTGGCAACCAGCAGACCAGGCTGCCCAGAGCCACATCCAGCCTGGCCTTGAATGCCTGCAGGGATGGGGCATCCACAGCCTCCTTGGGCAACCTGTTCCAGTGCCTCACCACCCTCTGGGTGAAAAACTTCCTCCCTTTACAGAAGTCTGGTTGCATCTCTGAATTCTCGTGGGAATTTTTCCCCTTTGGTGGTTAAAATTTATAGTAGCATGAAGTTATTTGTACTGTGAATCACATTTTCCTGTAGCTCAAGGCCTTGGCCTGGTCCCCTCTCAGATGTCCTACACGGTGCTCTGTCAGTGGTACGGAACACCTCTCTCTCATCTACGAGGTCCCAGGCTCACACTGCATGTGCCAACATTTCGGTACTGTTAGTAACACCAGGTTCCATTTCAGGGTGTTCAACTAAATGAACCTCAAAATTTTACCATGTAGAAACTAGACCCTTCCTTATCTTACCTTTCCTTAATCCTTTCTTTTGGAATGATTTCCATAAAGCACCCAGGAAAACAGTCAATTTTGTCTCCAAGTCAGCACTGCATTTGTTTCATGTTTTTGTCCGAGCTGTTTTCTGCGACTGTTCACTTAAGTGATTGTGTATTTAGGTGCACGCAGGTATATTTTTAAGGCTTTCAGTCCAATTTACACAAATGCTACATTTAACGCATTTTTCTCTGGAGCTTCATGTCCCAGTTGTCCTATTAGTAGTGTGACACGTCTGCTCATATGAGGCACATCCACTGCACATCTCAATAAAAGTAAACATCCTGTGTTTCTCAGCCTTCTCTAAAGCCCAACAGATGGCTGCTACTTTTACAAACTGTGCTGAATAGAATGGCTCACGTTTCCCTTGCAAGAGTCTTATTTCTGGAATCCAAACCCAGTATAATTCTTGCAGTTTGGAACACGGATCTAGGCACAGATCTGTGGAGCCCGCATCAGTCCCACATGCTGACTCTTTGCAGCTCAGATCCGCTTGCTTTTCAGAATGGATGTACAGGGGAACATACTTGGTATTTCTGAACCATCCAAAGCTGCAGGATGACTATAATGGCTTCCACATGTATGTCCTTGATCATCAAACCTAAAGGTCCTTTGTGCTATACATCTGTCAGAACCTTTAATGTTCTTTTTTTTTTTTTTCCCCAGAGAAAAGTGTTTTTTGGAGATATAGGATATTCTTAGAATGACTGGATTTCACCTTAATGCTCGGAGCCAGTCCCTGTTCAGGATACTGTCAGAATCTGTGGGAAATATTGTACATTTTCACTCCCTTACCTAATGCTCAGCAGACAGATGCCACAGGCGTATGGCTTAGCCTGATTTTGCAGCAGCAGTGCTACACTGATGTTATCTGCTCTTACCCCCATCCAGGAACCAAGGGTGCTCTGGTGCCTGGGTGAATTAGCAGCAATGCCAGCTTGAGACTTTACTCTGCATGCATGAAGGTGATGAGTTCAGGAGCTCATTCCTGTCTCATTTTTTTCCTCAAAAAATCATCTCTGGAGCTGCAGATCAAGGCAAGCAGTTGCTGTATAAGTTCTACAGCAGTCACAGGGCAGTTCAGGAATGGTCTTCATCTTTGCCTGCTGAAAATTTTTCTCCACTGAATGGCAGGCTTGCAGTCAGCTACTTGTTCCCAATATCCAGTGACTGAATTAAGGATCTAATGAAAAAAAAAAAAAAAGCTTCAGGAAGACCTTACAAACTAATTATTTTTTTGCGTTCTTTTGGACCTTACGAACTAATTATTTTTTTGCATGGAAGATTTTCAGTGAGCTACACAGCTGTTATGTAGTGTCCAGAGGCCCTAAAATTATGCCATTTGTTTAGGCATGTTTATGTCAGGCTTAACTCTGGAGAATTAAGGAAGTCCTTATACTTCTCCTCCAAATATACTGTCTACCAAAATAGTTGAGTGCAAGCTAACATACTAGCTACCCTTGTAGACTTACATCACCAAGACCCTGTCTGATTCATGGCATTTGCAGGATATTTTTTCATCATACCAACACAGAAACAGAACAGGAGACTGGCCACAACCCAAAACCCATCAAGTCTTCTTTATTTCCTAAATCAGTTATTTGCACTTCCAATTTACCATTCATGTGGTAATTTTTTTTTGGTGGGTTTCTTTTTAAACAGACTATTTTCATTGTGTTTTAAATGTTTTGGGTTTTTTTTGTGTGTGTGTACCATATTATTTGCATTGTATCACTTCATGCTTAGCCAGCTTGACCTTCAGCTCAACATCGGATCACTTCTGAGTGACCCTGGAGAACTGTGAAACCAGAGATTTGGAAGGTTTCTCACCAGAGGTCTGGTCATGGCGATGGCATTCTGCTTTAACTCCCAGTTATGGTAACATCCTCTTGGAGCAGTTTTTCTGTTGATCACAAGATCTAACTGGTTTAAGCTGAGACAGTCTTCAGCCAGTCTTGCAATGCTTCCTTAAAGAGAGGTTCCCTGGGTGGTTATATCCATATTCACATTAATAGGGCTAAGTGTCATTGACTGGTGTACACAGCCAAAGAGTTTCTAGAGAGGATCTGTTGGCTTTTTGTTTTGCTTTCTTTCATAAAAAGTTCTGCTCTGAAAAATCAATATAACCGAAAAAAGCAACCTATCAACATTTTCCAGTACATATAGCAGAGATTCCATTTGCTTTACCTAACACACATGAAGAATGTGTACTAAGATCAGATGAACTACTTGCATTCATTGAACTCTGCCAGGAATTTCATATATTTTGTTAACTGCAATATTCCAGCACTTGAAGGGAGCATATGCACAGGAGGGGGAACGGTTGTTTATGAGGGTGGACAGTGATAGGACAAGGGGGAATGGTCTTAAACTGAGGCAGGGGAGGTTTAGGTTGGATATGAGGAAGTTTTTCACACAGAGGGTGGTGAGGCACTGGCACAGGTTGCCCAAGGAGGCTGTGGATGCCCCATCCCTGCAGGCATTCAAGGCCAGGCTGGATGCGGCGCTGGGCAGCTGGTTGGTGACCTGCACACAGCAGGGGGTTGGGACTAGATGGTCATTGTGGTCCTTTGCAACCCGGGCCATTCTATCATTCTGTGATTCTATGATTCCAGTTCTTTTAGATTAAAAATCTTAAAGAAATATTTTAGGACTGCTGGTACTGATCTTCATGCAGGTGCTTTTTAATAAACTAAGAACCACAAAGTTTTATCTACTTTTTTCTGTCAGTCTTCACTTTTTTTTTTAATAAAACAGTCATATTTCAACTTCGTTGAATTTTTCCAATCATCCCTGAACCATCTTGTCTGCAATATTAAGACACATCCTTATGTTTGTAGACATCCCTTGCCACCTGGGCATCTGGACAACAGAACAATCATAAGGACTATAAAGGTTGATCAACTCTTCTGCTTTTTCAAAAAATTATGGTTTATGCACAAGTGTGCTCGGGTGAATATATCATGAATGTTATCAGTGGTCACATGAGGCATCAAAATCTGTTGCTCCTTACACAGAAACTTGTATTCAATTGTGACCCAAGCCAATAGATATAATTTCTACAGATTTCTACAGATATTTGTTACATTGAGGAGGAAAGGCCATATAGTGCATCCTTACAAATTTTAAGTGGGAGAGAAACTTTGTATGAATGTGCTCATCGTAACCAGAGCTTCAAACACATGCTGTGAGCAACCCATAATAAACACACACAACCTCTCAGCCTTTTACTCCTTGTTCATACACAGATCCTACAACCTATATATCACCTACATCTGGCTCTTTTCTTTCCCCACTTAATTTCTAAGTGCTGTGCATGCTTTACACTATGCTGAAATCTGTTCCAGCCGGTCTGGCTACGCTGCTGCTACAAAGGATGAAAGCAAGGTCAAGCTAATCAAGCCCAAGAGGATAGCAACCCATGTGGCTATTAAAGAAGGTTACAGTAGGCTCAGAGTTGTCAGGAGAGACATACAAACAGCTCCTTATGAGTGTAAATAAGGCAGATTTAAATGTGTTTAATCGTGCGTGCCTGTCTCAAAATCTGGCTCATGGTTCTTCTTTCTATTTCTCACTCAGGGTCACCAGTGCCTGAAAACACTGATATGCCAAGGAAGCCAATTCCCTGTGGGAGCATGACTGTGCTCCACACACAGAAATTTCCCCTTCTGTCACTTGGCATAGTTCAGTATGTGACTTGCTAATTCAAAATATAAACAGAGAGGAACTAGGGCCAATAGTTGAAGAGCTGCAAGCAGAATTCTCAGCCCTTCCCAGTAAGTGAATGATACCTCCCCTCTATAACTATCACCCATTTCTTTGTTGGTTTTTTTTTTTTAGCTTAACCAGTATTATATCCTTGGAACTTAGGAGGAAATGGGAAAAATGCCATACTCAAACACACGTTTCAGGCTGAAAAAGCAAACCGCTCAATGTCTGCAGTGCATGATCCATAATTTAGCGGGCGAGTTTCTCTCATCCTCTAGTTCTTTTGTTCCCATGAATTGCTTATTTCCTTTCTTTCTCTGTATCATTTTCTCTCGTAACTTTGTTGTTCTTTAACACCTTTTAATTATAGTATGAAATACATAAGCATGTATTTAAATACATCTCAGTTCCTGCTGCTCTCATCCTGGTTATAAACGCAATTTAAAAACCTTACTCATATTTATGCACCATTCATCAAGCTTCTGAGAAGGAAAAAACTTTCCTGTATGCTTTCCTTTACAAGTTTTCCTTCATTTCCAAGCATCACGGTGCACGAGGCCTGCTGCAGCTTTGCAGGCTTTGCCTGAAAATGCATAAGAAAATGAAACATCCATGTTAAACAAATGGAAAATACACTGAGAGTACAGCCAGACATTTTCTGAAAGCCAAACTTAGGACACTGCCTTTCCTTTGGTTCTTTATCTAACCCTGTGAGTGCTGACTCTCTCCCAGGATGGCAGTGAACTTCAGCAGGAGGCAGTAACGATGTCTTAACAGTAACTGCCATAGTAATGGTGTGTCCTCTTTCCCCTCCTGCAGCAGGATGGAGCACCTGGTTCTGCTCTGGAAGGTGAAACCAAGAGACTTCTTGCTTAGGGACAACACTGTTGTACATGTGGGGATTCTTTACTGGGAATCTTATGGCATCTTTGCTTGGCATATCCTCAGGAATTGCTTTGATAATTGCTCCACTCTTTTTACACAAGGTGCTTATTTGGTACTTGCCAAACCCTTCCAATGTCCATCTACAATTCATAACACTTTCTTGACACTCTATTTATCAGGGAACCAAGTGAGCAGGGAACTAGCTGCAAAAGCTGCTTGCTCCCCGGGCTCCCTCCTTTGTTCAGAGGAGCTCGTCTGAACTTTTATTACAAAAAATACTCAAGAATTAAGATAAAGACCTTAATCCAGTGTGACTTTCCACTCACAGAACTGCACCTGGAGCATGGACCACATCCACACAGTTCTGAAACAATCCAGTGCTGCTCACAGCTCATGTTTCATTTCAGAGCCAAACTTGGAAAGCTCAGGCTAGCAGTTGCATGTTAAAGGAGCTGGTTTCGCCTTTTAAGTGTTAGAATTTGAAATTCAAAGTTAGTATCTCAAATTAAGGAAAGCTGATAATGTATGGCAATACAGAGGGCATGATGCCTTTAATAGAATTATTAAACTGAATTAATGACTATATTTTTCAATAGGGAGAAAGAAAACGGAGTAGAAAGGGGCCATGAAAGTTAGTATTCCTATCCAAAGAATTAAAAAATCAGTTCTCCTGATTGTTTACGGTTAATTAATTCTAAGAAAATTCTAAGAAAACAGAGAATTTATCAGTGATGCTGTAGTAAATGAGCAGCTCTCAGCAGTCTGCCATCCTGAGTCTATCAGCATATATTCAAATTTACTGCCTTACAGACAGATAGGACTGATGGACCAGAGCTTGTTGCAGTCCTTCCACACTTGATGAACTTATCTTCCTGAAGCCTCCACACATTGACAGGAACCATCGAACATGCCAAATGCTATCAAGTGTACCATTTGGTAGGTGCTAGAACTTTCCATTTGCCTGCTTCAAAATCTCAGCTCTGAAAGCTGTTCCATCACAACAAAAGAAGAACATTTTCTCTGTGCAGGTGTTGGAGCACTGACACATGCTGCCCAGAGAGGTTCTGGAGTCTCCTCCCAGACGTGGGCCTGGCCTGCCTCCTCTGGGTCTCTGCTGGAGCAGGGGTTGGACCAGTAGGACCCAAACTTGTCCACAGCTTAGAAGCTCAAGAATGCTCACTTCAGCAGATATTTTACTTATTTTGGCTAACAAAAGATAGAACAAAATAAATGACCCAAAGCCTATTGTGAAAGCTGTTATCTGTTAATCACAGTTTAGTCATTCCAGGTTGATTTCAGAGCTTTCTGTCAGTACCCCAAACCAGCTACACTTCATCTTAGCTGAAGTTATCTTCAAATGGCTTTCTAGATTAGGTTTTGGTAATTCAGGCTACAGATTACAATACATTAACAGCCCATTTAACAGCCATAGCAGATCCTACCTGGAAACTGAGACTGAGGAAATAAAAGCAGCAGTTCTTGATTCTGAACTTGCCTTCCAGTCAGAATCATTTTACCTTTTTGCCTCTGGAATGGAGACAGACGAACTAATTGAGATTTCATCATGTCATCAGGAGCAGCCAAATTCAGAAACACCAGGAACACACAGGAGAACAGCAGTGATTTTGCCCACATCCAGTTGGCCGGCAGTGAAGAGGAGCGATCCCATGACTGTGCAGCACAGCCCAAAACAGCATGAAGCATTTCCGTTCTCAATTCTACAAAATGTCCTTTCTCACTTTGAGAAAGCTCCTTTAACATCCTTTCATATCCCACTGGTCCCCTCTGAAAGCGGCCGCTAGAGAAGGTTTTGTGGGCTGAAGTCAGATTTGGACTAGATTAATGCATGATGCTGAGTCTACATGCATACCAAACTAATTGTGTTGCAAGACAACTAACACTTGGATTTATTCTAGGTAATATTTTATTTGGGATGGGGTGCAGCTCAAATGGTAGAGGAAAAAGGCCAGAAAACTGTCGTGATCATTTAGTCTGGTAAGAGATACAACTCATTTCTCAAAAAAAATGAAGTCCAGTCTTAGTCCAGTGCCATCGTGCCCTGTAGGTATAGGCAAGTAGCTGGAATGGTTAATTGTGCCCCTATCCCCCTTTATAAAGTACCTTATTTCCCATTTGACTGATGTTTTGAATGGCATCCCATTTCAGCTCACAGGCATTCATCCTGTCAGACTCTGACTATTGTGATAAGAGCCTTTTATTACCAAATTTTATCTCTGTATAAAGTCATTAGCTGAAGAACAAAGCCTGCAGCACTCACAAGCTGTGGAAGGTGGGATATTCCTCTTTACTTTCTTCTGTCTTCGTTCTGTGGTTTTCTCCAGCACAGAGATGCAGTACAGGGTCTGGCAGGGGATGAGTTTGTGGTGCTGGGGCTCATACTGTCCACTATCAGATTCGGAGCGCAGGTCCCAAAGCAGCACATGCCCTCAGTACAGCACAAGGCACCCCATCTTTAGAGGACCTTCGCTCACATGCACTTCAGAGAGGCCATGAGCTTCCTAGAATTTGAAATACATAGGATTCAGGCCAGCTCAGGATTTACAACTTGCATGGGTTAAGTAGTGGTATTGGCACTTACTGTATGTTTCCTTATGGAGAAAGCAACAAATGCAAGCGAACTTCAATAGAAATGAAACAATGATAAAAACAAACATTGGGGAAAACATCAGAATACAAATTTGTACTCCAAACATCTAGACAGTGCTAAATCTAGATGTGTATCAGGCTAAGTTAACCAGAGACAGGAAGAAATTCAGAAACCGTCAGTCGTAGATGAAAAGTGTATTAGGTAGTTTTCTTTTACGTAGCTACTTCATGTGTCCCCTTCACAAAGCACACTTAAAAGCAGGTTCGTGGTGCAGGGGAAGCAGTTAACAGCACCAGCACCATTTCCCTTGCAGTGATTCTTCCAGCAGCGCAGCCGCCCTGTGCAGCACTGGTACAGCTGATGGTGCCCCACACCCTTGCGGTTGCACTGACAGCTTTTTCTGCTCTGTATTACAAAGCCTTCAGAGGCAGCATTGGTTACACCAGAGGATTCAGTTTTCTGAAAGGGCAACAGCTGCCCGTGCTCCACCTGAGTGCAGCTGAAGAGTTGAGGTCTGCAGCTGAGTGAACACAGCTTTTCTACCTTACATTATTTAACAATAAAAGGGAGACAGAGGCAATATGTGACTTTAGCCAAGGTATGATTTTTCAGAATAGTTTAGGGCATGTTTTATGTTCTGCAGGGGTTTTCCATGACTTGGGGAAAGCCTAAATGTGTACTGAGAAACATCTTCAACCTTCCCATAATAAAGGCCGTGAGTGACTGCAGCTACTTGCCTGCCTTGGTTTCTAAGGAAGACTTTAAGGGCACTGTCAGTGGCATTAGTGCATTAAATGCAACAACAGTAATCTGCCAGTAACCAAACAGACCTGGCAGGAAAGCACCACGGGTTTGTCAAACTTCAGTGAAATTAAACACTTGTTCTGTCATCTCTGTTCTTTACAAATTACTGTGCAGCCTTCACACATCTCATGCTGTTATCCCAACTGTGCACAGCAGTAAGAGCCTCTGCTGTTTATAAAACACACTCAGGAACACAGCAAGCAAATCGAGTCTTCAGCAGTGGTCAGAAGGCAACAGCCTTCAAGTGCCCCACCAGCTCTCACTTCAGCCAGCTCTTTCGCATCCATTCCATTGCTCAGGCTCCACAGAACAGTTTGAGTTGGAAAGGACCTTTAAAAGTCATCTAGTCCAGCTCCCACCCAGTGAAAATGAACAGGGACTTGCTGTTTGCATTCCACCCTTTGGCTCTTCAGCAACAGACCGCAAATAAAAACTCATCAGTGTTGCTTTAGCTTCGCCCCCAGCAAAGAACCTTCATGTAACTTTTCCTTGGGGCCACTTGGGTCACAGCCTGGCGCCCCTGTCTCTGAAGAGGTTTCTCCCTCTTGCATTCAGCCCAACCCACTGCTTCCAAGTCAGATTTATTACAGCCTGCTCACAGTGTGCAGCAGTCACACAGGCACTGCCCAGACACACTGAGGCCAGACCATGCAGGGACCACCTCATAGTTCCCAAACGGAGTTACCGATCTGTGCCAGAAGATTTTATGATGACTTTTGCTGTGTTATGACACAGGTAGGGGATTTCTCAGCCCGCAGCCTGCCTGCCTGGCGTTATCTCTTCACTCACCTATTTCTGTTCTCGTGTGCTTTACTCCCTCTGGTGCATTGGCTGCACCTCCAGCCACAGTGCAAGGTGAGCACATAGCAACACAGCTCAGAAGTCAGTCAGTGACACTCACTGACACTGGGAAGATTTTCTTGGGGAAAGTAAAGATAAATGCCACTTTATATCACTCGTTATAAGCTGGCATTCTATTCATAATGGTTCTCAAGAACCCCCTGCTCATGAAATGCACAATAACGAAACCATCTTGACAAAAAGAGAAGGCATATTGTATATACTAAATGCTGCATTTTTCACACACCTAAACTGCACTCGGGTTCTAAGGGCCTGAAGTTTTAATTTCGCTCCTTGAGAACAACTATGTAACATACCTTTAAAAGTGAGGGGGTTTATTTTTAGTCATACTGGAGATAATGGAAAAAACCTCAAATCCTGTCTAAAATCTGGGAAAAAATAAGCTATGAATGTCAGAACACCATTTCCTTCCAGAAGATTACCAATGGTTTATTATTCCAAGTGTATATTTAGAATATTCCACTTTCATAGTTGCTTTAATATCAACCACATTAAAACATTTCTGATAGCTGATTGACCGCCTGCATAAGCAAATCCCAAGCTCCCACACCTGTTCCATTACACCGAGTGCTCACAGCATCCTTCCCATGTGTGCACACACACGTGGAGCCTCGGCACGTTCCTCAGGCACACAGACACTGCATGAAGAACATGTGGCCCGAAATGTCAGCGAAACAAAAAAGCACACCCCTGCTTTTAGAGCACTCAGCAGTGTCCCTGCAGCAGCCTGGTGATTAAAAATGGAGTTTTAAAACTCTGTGCTTCCTGTTCCTTTGGTGCTGAGCAGCTCTTGTGCCATGAGTTAGAAACCAAACATCAATAACGATTCTCCCTGTTTTCTGCTGTAGGTCACCTACATGAACGTACTTTATTCCCCTGTACTTTGGGCAGACCAACTGAACATTCTGGTTTGCACCCACGTTAGGTAACACTGTCATCTTTCTTCTCTGAGGTTTTGTGGAGGTCTCAGGAACACACAGAGGACAAGAAACACCTGTGTGGTGGCTCAGCTATCCAAGCAGCATGGAAAAGGCGTTAAGAACTCGGGGGAGGGGGGGGGTTATTTTGCAAACAAAAGGAAAGTTCATTTCCTCTGTTAGCTCACCAGAGCATTAGGTGCAAAAACATGCCTAGAGCTCATGAAAGACCTTTACTTATGTCTGAATCTACCAAAATTCTTCATAGAGCCATCTGAAAAACATTTGATTTTTCCTTTACAAAATACTACAGAGCTTTTCTGAACCGTTTTATCAAGAAGGCTGTTAATAAAAAACACACAGACCAACAGAAATTATGAGCTATAATCAAATCTTTTGTTTGGGTTTTTTGAGTTTGGGTTTTTTTTTTTTTTCCCCATATATTTGAAGAGCATTGACAGAACAGTCAAAACTGCCTTCTTATTGCAGCAGTAGTCAACTGTCCTCATGCTGACTGCCATGTAAATAAATCCAGTGATCAGCAAGTGAGCTTGGTATATTGCACACACCTGCAAGAAACCACAAGTACTTACACTGTATCTCATCTGAATGCAGTCATGGGACATTCCAACAGTTTAGAAAATAAATGGGCACAAATTCATAACTGAAGCATGATGAAGGTTTGCTTTAGAACGTAGGGAACAACAGTGAGGTGAAAACAAACACAAACGTCCTGGATGGCAGCGAATGCAGAAAGGAACAGACACTCATTGCGTGTGCCACTGAGCTGGCTCCTAACAACCCAGGGCTCCTCCACTCACTGTCTGGCCATCCTGGCAATAGACCACAACACAAATGTTAAAATAATAACACTAATAAAAATAAGTATGGATTCCAGCTTATTTTAGCCTAGATGTTCTAACAAAACGTCACCATTCATTCCTTGGCATGGGGATGGGATGCCTGTGTGCTCCTACTGCGTTCCTTAATCGCCTCAACACTTTCTACTCTTTGCAAAGGTTAGGGCAGCAAGTTTGATCTGACTATAAGAATTAATTCCAACAATCATGTAATTATCCTGTTGCTGTAATGACAAATGCCTACACAGAACAACCCGAGATCCCTGTGAGTGCTGCGTTGTTTCGTATCCAGACAGATTCCTCCGACAGTATCTTAAAACAAGTTTAGCGTTGCAAATGCAGCTCTACATCTTCTTGCTGCAAATCTACAGCTACACAAACTTCTGGGAAAAAACACTGCAAAGAACTTCCCACTGTTTCTCCTGATCCCTCAATTTACCAGTCCTAAGTCAACTCCAAGTTCGTTGTTACAGCGAAGCCCTGAGGCTTCCTTCCTCAAGTCCATCCCACAAATTGCTGTTAGAGAACACTGGTTAAGGTGCAGACACTTCCAGGTATCTTACCTGTTACATGTGTGTTCAGTGGGTTTGAATCTGACGCAGCAAACAGTGGCATGCATTGCACTCCTAGGAGTTCAACTCCACTGATAATTAACAATTCCTGTATTAAAAACACCAAGAAAAGTCAACTGTGGTTCTGCATTTGTGCTTCAGCTTTAGTCTAGTGTACTTCTCAGCATTAATCATGCCAGATTGTTACTACTTAGAATGTAACAATCCTTTGGTGATCTACTGAAATTCTGGTTGGTTTTTGTTTGTTGTAACATTTATTAAATATTTAACCTCCCCAAATGATTTAAATTAGCACACAGAACCGTCTCGAATTCCTCCTAGCATTTCTTACCACCAGTTCTGACTTCCTATGGCAAAAGGCTGTTCCAACATCACCCTTATAGGATTTTTAGCAGCATCAAGTCTTTATTCCAAACATGAGAGGGTAAGATTGATATTGAACTGAAAACTTAATGCATTCCCATAAGATGACTGGTATCACCACGCTCACTTTCTCCTTTTTCCATGTCCCAGGAAACCCAGTGGTGCCTGCATGGTAGAGGCCGCAGTACTGGCTCGACCCGTGGCTCTCCTCACTGGCACAAGTTAAGAAAGAAAACCCAACCCTTGTGAGCAGACAGCTTCTGCCTCTCCTGCACGCTTCACTGCTGAATTGTTCATCCCACAGACAAACAGGAACTGGCTTTTATGCTTGAAGGGTGTTTATATTTTGCATAATTTAGTGAAGGCCCTATCCTGCTTCCATCAAGCTCAAAAGCAAAAGCAAGCTGTTACACTTGTGCCAGAGGGAGCCAAGGAGCCTCAACAGCCCTGACCAAAGGGCACGGGAGTCTGCCTGCCTATCTTCATCCATTCATCAGTGTAGTAAGTAGCAGCTCCTCAGCCTACACCATGCTAAGAGAGGAAAGGGACAGGATTCGCCCCACTCCAGAAACAGATATCAAAGCACTCCTACCTCTGCTCACCTGCCCTCACCATTACCAACTTTATTTACATTGGTCAAATAACTCCTGCTGCTCCCCCAAAGCAGGGGGAAATCCTGCACCCAACTGAAATAGGTTGGAGATTCATGATCCTTGAGGTCCCTTCCAACCCCGGCCATTCTGTGATTCTGTGAAATGCCCCACTTGGAATGGGATCCATCTCTGAAGGTAGGCAGAGGGAGCAGCCGCAGGCACAGAGGGCAGCATGCACGTGCTGGATTTAACCTGCAGAGAAAGGAAAAGAAACAAAGGGGAAGATTAGGAAAGCTCTGACTGTGAGTAAATCAGTTTTCTTTCATGTGTTCACTAATATTCTCCTGCTGCTCCGAAATATGATGCTCTAGCTTTATTCTCATCTCTGAATAAAGATGGACGCTTTTCTGTGCTCAGGTAATCTATCTGGATGTTTAATTTCCATTTACTGGAAAAAAAATCTGATACTGAATTAGATAAGAATTAGAGCTTCCCTTGGGGTGAAGCAGTTAACACAATGAAGATTTGTGACTGCCTGCAACCTGCAGTTGCAATTATATGAGTACCATACAGGTCAGATATGTTTCTTAACAACACCGAGGGCAACTCAGAGACTTCCAAACTAAGCTAACAGGTGGAATACAGTCAGCCACGTCAACCTGCCTCACTTCAGGTCTGTTATTTCTTTAGTTCCATATTATATCCGTTCTCTGTGGTCTATGAAAATTTCAGTTTACAAAAGCACACAGCATTAATTAGTTGTTAACATGTGGTTCCAACCCATGTTTATTTTATGGATATTAATCTGAAGTTAAGTCAACATGAAACTAAAAAGCATGCAGCATTTTCAGGGGCAACACAAGCCTGAGTCTCCTGACAGCTGAGGAAAATGCAAACAGCCGTGGGACTGGGAAAAAGTTGTGTGTGTAAAAACCAAGGTTGGGGAATGCATGGCTGGAGCTGGTAATTTGTTGTGGATCAGTTTATTGCAGAAACAACAGATACAGGCTGCACATTTCAAACACTGCTACCAGAACTCCCACCTCTGCTGCTTTACTTGGCAAAACACGCATAGGGTCTCTCCCAAAAGACACTTTAAAAGAAAGAGGCGGCAACCAAAAGCTCCCTCACTGTGCATTTCCATAAAGCACACCCACCATTTATTCAAGAAACGAAGTGCTGGCCAACGAGTTCATTCCACTGAGCATGCTGAGGTACAACAAGAGTAAAGGAACTCAGCCCAATAGCCTGACCTGGTCAGAGGGCTCTGAACCTTTTGGCCCCACTCAGTCACAAAATTCAGTTCCACTGCCCCAAGCGATGACTCTGTGACCTGGGAGGACAAAAGAGCTGAAAGGGCACAAGGTGCAGATGTGTCCCAGCAACAACACTGTCTGAGCTGTCTCAAAATTGCACAAAGTCATTTAAAAAGCAACAGATGCCTTTTTTGATCTTCCGTTTATAAGGATTTTGGGTGCAATTTAAATTTAACACCATTTTTAAAAGAAGTTTAAAGTGACTTTTAAATCGAAGCTGCAGCATTAAATAACCAGCAGGGACAGAAACAAGTGAATCACAATGAAGTCACCAACAGGCAGACCCAGCACTACTGCAGACGCACAGCTGTGGCAGAAAGACATCAGTTAGTAAAACACACCACGTGGAACTCTGGTACTTGTTGGAATGGGATTACTTCCAGAGATGATGAGGGCATCTTTGGCACAGCCATAACCACAACTTGAGGTACCCTCTGTAGTCCAGAAACAGTTTTTAAACTCTGAGCTGAACTTCTAAACCTGACATTCTTGTTTTGAAAGAATTACCAATCTGTGCTGATGTGGAAAACCTCTGAATTTTTTTTATAGAACCAGCTGTTCTATAACATCACAATCCTTAAATACACTTTTGCTGCTTCCAGTTGTAGTTCACATATGTTAAGTACAGTGTAATTACCAACCAATATTTGACTGCAATGGTACTCCAAGGGCTGGAGGTAATTGTGTGTGCAGAGCCAGATGCACAGATTGGAGTCTGCCAGTGGAGCAGAATAAGCATAAAAACTCAAGTGTTTCAGAACAAAGCAATTTTTGCAGCACTTAATTGCTGTTTGATGGAACACTAAAACAATGCAATCATCGAGAGATGCCTGCACATAAGAGGCTTCTCTGTCAAGAGCCATTCCTTAAAAGACACACGCTAACTTTAAGAGGTTTTCCTAAAGCCTTCTCACGTTGGCCTGTTATTCAGTAACCACATTTTCAGAAGACTGGTTTTGTTTTTTAACATCCCCCCCCGAGCGTCTGATAGCAGCTTATTTCAAATGCAGGACTGGAGGACTCCAAGCACAACTGCTGTCATCACATCTATTAATTTCTTTAACTCCCTGACCATCTCCCATCTTCCAGGTGCACCCACTGAGATGCTCCTACCAGCAAAGAACGAAGCTGCCTGGAAGATTCCTGGTTATTTTCACAAAGCAAACACACCCTAAGTAACACCAGTCCCAACACTTCTCATCCAGTCAAAAAATCAGCTGTGCTGAGTAGTGCATTCCCATCTGGTTGAATACATTCATATCTTCACTATAAAAATATGATTCAATCAAATGCTTTACAAGCTTGTTACAAACCAGCAATATGACAATGCAAAAAGTACTTATTTTCTATTTCATCAAGAAGTAATTCCCTCAAGCATTAGGAAGCAACGTAAAATCTTTTAATATATTGAGCAATTTCATTAAGTTCTCTGTAAAGAAAGAAAAACACAGCTTGAAATACAAAAGCTTTTAAAACACGACATGGAATTTCACTGGGAAAGTAACAAATTATGCAAGTCACAAGCCTATATTATGCATTAAAATGTTGGCTGAGACACTAAACAACCATAAAAAGTATTTCTATAAAAACTGATTGAAGATGTATTCTTCGTGAACCAGTGAGCAAACATTTACTCTTCTCAGATTAATATTAGCAACTTCAAAAAAAAAAAAAAAAAAAAAAAAAAAAGCATTCCTCTGATGACTGATGTAAGTTCCCAAACAGAATTCATGTATTGCAGTTCTTTCCACAGAACACCTCCAAGTAAAGCAGCAGCCAAGTACTGCCTGGAAGGATGAAACAAACAGAAAAACCTCTGCAAAGCAGGCTCCCATTCCCAGAATTTTATTTTTTCCTGCTTTTGAGGGAACTGTTGTGAACTCTCACTCTCTTCTGCACAGAAGAAGCAATCTTCATGGACACCTTCTTTGCCAGGGAGCGTTCCACGGCTCCGGGCCTCCACAACAACAGCTGGGCATCCTCTCCTCCTGTCAACAGCGACTCCTCTGCCAGGTTCCAGCAGAAAGAGCGAACGGTGGCAGAGTGCCCCCCTGGAAGGGTACCCACCAGGCTCAGCCCAGCAGCGCTGCAGCTGATCAGGTGAACGTCTCCTGTTGCCGTTCCTCCGATCAGAAAGAGTCTGTCAGCCTTTTCATGGTACATCCCTCCTACCAGGTAATTTAAGCTGCCATTTTCAATGCAGACTGAGTCTCTGGCGTCCAGAACACGCAACAGCATTACTGGTTCTTCAGTATCTAACTGAGCAAGGTCCCACCAACAAAATCCCTCATCGTGGGTCGTGCAGTAGATCTGTTCATAATCTTTCCCAGACCAGCCAATAAAACTTACTGATGAATCTGAATTACAGGTTGATATCAAAGCATCATCTTCGTTGTCCTTGTTAATGTCAAACACATTCACCAAGCCGTCAGTCGACCCAGAAACGACCAAACTGGGTTTGACAGGATGAAAACAAATCTTAGTGACATCATCATTGTGACTTTCAGAGTACACTCCCAAAGGTTCCCTCATTGTGCTGGCACAGTCCGTGCTGCCTCTCGCATCCCAAAACACCAGGAACGTATCCGTTTCTACTTTTTCTGTTCCAGCACAAATCATGAGATCACTGCAATTGAGATCAAAACTGATAAACACGTTGGAAGGATAGCCACTGAATACCTGCACAGCTTTCTGAGTTGCTAAACGAATATCCCAACATTTTACTGTACCATCACTGCACGCAGAGAACACCAAGCTGTCACACGCATGTGCAAATCTGATGCCGTTAAGTGTCCCAGGACAGCTACTGTACTCCCGCAGGAAGTTCAGTGTTTCTCTGTTATAGACCCTAATGGATTTATTGGAACATGAAACTGCCACAAAGCGACGACTTTCAGACTGAGCAGATCCAGAGATGTCTATATCCAGCAGGTAAGCAGGCTCCTCACTTAGCACAGAGCGCTTTGCTATGCGCAGGCAGGCAAACTGCTCCTCGATCTTCTCAACTGCAGACATCTCAAACGCTGTTCTTGAAGCTATCGGGAGTCTGCAGTAAATAAAATATGAGGTTTAATGATAAAAGTCTGAAATAACATTAGCTTTACATACATAGGTATGAAAAGGTTTCCTGCACAGAGCTTTTGCATGAAATCAAAGGTCAGTCATCCTGAAGTCCTGCCTACCATTTTATTTACAGAAACAGAGAACCACCCAGAGCTTCCCCCAGCAAAGAAGTTCAATCTCCTCTGATTGTAAGCACTGCATCACATAATCCCCTCAGAGGATTAAATAGGCTGCTTGTGAATGCTGTGAAAGTCGTTTAGCTACATTTGCTTTGTTGTTGCTGGTTTTGTCTCTCTTGTAAGTAAATATTAAAGCAACATCCTCTGCAAGTGGAAGCACAAGGAAGGCATGGTTCCTACCTGAGGAATAACTTCTGCTCTAAAAGGCTGCTTGCACTCACAGCCCACAAACAGTTGTATCACTGCAGCTGCAGGAGACTTCTGGGCCCAACTTCTGCATAGGCAGAGAACAAGGCAAAAAATGGAGTAGAACTACAGCCTGAAAGAGACAAATGAGATACCTTTTGCAGCTATTCAGGTGCTCACTGACACATGCAAGCACCCATTCAGCACACCACAGGCTACCTAAACAGACATGAGGACAGCACCACAATTTGGGAGAACTGAGCATTTTCAACAGTTCTCCCAAGAACCAAAGCCTTTCCCGAGGCTCTTAAATAAAAACATAGCCCTGGCTCTTATTGCAACTGGGAAAAAAAAAGCCTTTCCTTCCAAGGCAATTTTTCTCTGGCATTATTGAATTATTCTAGAAAAACAGTATTTCAGCGATACACGTGGATATTTAAATTTAAAGGAGATGTTTACCATCAAAATCAACAGGTGGTTTTGGTCAGTTCACAAACTTGGATCACTTTTCAACAAATAAAAGGTAGTTGGGATATAGAAAGGAAGCATAATCATCCACACAGACGATTTCTCTCTCACTTACAGGCTCAATTAGACTTCTCTTCTGTGTTATAAAATGAATTTCGGGGGAATCACAGCAGTTCCCGTGGGGGTCAGCTCTCCTCACTCCAATGAGACTTTAGCTATGAGATATGGTTTAGTGGCTTGTGGTTGCAAGGGCAGTGGGAGGACAGTTGCACTAGATGATCTTCTAGGTCCTTTCCAACCTTGTGATTCTATTATGGATGTTTCAGTTAAGGCAGAGAAGGGTAAAGCAATACTCCAAAAATGGACTTATTTCCTTACAAAGTAGGCCAGCACCCAATGCCAGTGGTCACACACATGGAAGGATTCTTTCTGGAAAAATCCAAATAGAAACCAAAGAGAAATCAGGCAGGCCCAAAATGCAGGAAAATACCATCATGTCTTCCCAGCTGTCCCATCAATTTTTTTTCTCCTAATTCCTCAGGCTGGATTTTGGGAAGGGGATGAAATGAGCAAAGTGCTGCGTACTCATTGGCTTTGGCTCATTATTTTAGTGTTCCACAGAAGGCCAGCAACAAAAGAAAAGTTGCTATGACAAAACTGCATTCTGCTTGTTTTTAACATGGTGTTGTTGGTAGTTTCAAGGCCTTGCCTTCCCTGCTCTGTTTGGTACATACAGATACACAACACACCATGTGATAAACGAGCAAATTCTTAACAAACAGCTTAAGCAGACCCACTCGTACAAGCTTAATTCTCAAGTCACAAATAATCTAAGCTATCTGACCTGGTAATATCCTGACAAAAGGTCCCAGGTTAATCATTTACATCAAAGCAACCTTTCAGAACACATCTACAAGTCATTTTTGCCATCAAATGCAGACATCCTGTGGAAACTCCTTTCCCCTCCAAAAAGAAGAATTTCAACATGTTTTCTGGCACTGTGTACAGCCCTACCCACAGAGCCTGCTTCTTACATACTCAAACGGGACAAGACTTCAGTAGAACCAATATAAAAGCAGACAGCTGTTGGACGCTGCTTGCTCAACTGTGTGCAAGGCTAAGGCCCAATTGTACCAGGTTTGTTCAACTTTATTTCTGAAAAATCACCAGCTGTGAAAAGGTAGAGACTGCAAAAAACACACTTCATTCAGATTTAATAATACTCTCAGGGAAGTAAAAGGAGCCCAAGGTAGTGCCTCAGCTTTCACTCCCAAATGATACAGGTGGAGCTGTTTTACACTAGCAGAAAACACCACATATTTTCCAGATAGATGTGTAACATACATCATCAGGAAGGTGCAGCCCTCCCTTCTGCTTCCCAGCAGCAGTTAAGGAGCTGCAATACCACATTTGATGGCAGCAGGGTTTTTTGCTAAAAACTCAGTAAAAATATCTGTCCCAGTAAGACGGTCTTCAGGCTATTATGAAATTGGGATTGAAGGTTATATAAACAATTTGTGCTCCAGCGTCAGGGTGTAGCTGCCAGCCCTTCCTTTTCAGGAGGGGAAGTCACTGTTGTACTTTGATGGGAAAGTTTAAATGGCAGGAATAGGATCTGTGTTAAATTTATGGGACAAATAGGAAACAATGGTCTTCCAAACACAATAGAAGATCACTAAGCATTGGAACGCTGCCACCTCGAAAGCACATGCTGCTCTGCACTGCAGAAGTGAAGCGCTTTTGGTTGGGCACTCCTCAACTTTGACAACCCAGGTATCCACTTCGTTACGGCCACCAGGCACCCAGTGCCAAGTAAGCTGCTTGGAACGCTTTGGTCATAGCACAGGAGCCACTCACAGCGATCAGTGCAGAGACCTGCCTGCGAGAACCTGACACCAACTGGGCGGGGGGAAGGGAGCTTGCTCTGGAACTGCCTCTGAAGAAGTGACAGAGATCCCTTGGGAAGAGAAGAGGAGTTGGCTGCTGCTACCTCTTTTCTTTAGGATATGCAGTTGTTGGTAGAACTCAGGATCTTCCTCTGTTCCAGCTCACAGTAGCCCAAGGTTTGGATCTGCGCATGCAGTCTCAACACTGGTCTAGTATTGAACGTGGAGGTTGGCCCTACCTGTGGCAGGGAGGTTGGAGCTTTGATGATCCTTGAGGTCCCTTCCAACCTGAGCCATTCTCTGATTCACTCTATGAACACAGACAAAAAGCAGGTGATGTCAGCATGATAGGAAACACCACGGCCTGGATTACACAGAAGTATCTGGCCCAAGTGTCTGGCTTACGCCACTCACTTTCATCTTCAGCAACTGCCACTCTTTGCACAGAGCTGCATCTCCCACCACCATCCTCATCAAGGTGAAGCCACCTGTTACAAATCAGCCCTACTTTACGTGATCCTCCAACCTACAGCTGCTTGATCTTTGCTCTGCATTTACAGTTCTCTGTAACCTCGGAGCATCTCTTTGATATCGCAGCACACCATTAATGGTAAGCTTCTCTGCATCTTGAGAACTCAAAATAGATACAGTCAACTGAAACAGCCTATAATATTTTGACCTCCAGGATGCCCTACAAAGTTCTGTTAAAAAGAAATAAGCTTGGTTTTTAGAACAGAAGGCACAAAGGGGCAGGAGTGCCAAAGAGGAAGAAGTTTGCAGATGCTGTGGTTATGCATTTCTCCCTGGTGGAGCATGGAAACAAACATACAGCAAGACAAGACGCAAGCAGTCACAGGTGCCCAAAGCAGCCTTCCATTGGCAGAGAAAGGAAAGGTAAGCGCCTACGAGCACAAACTAAACGTTTCATTTTGCCTGAGCATATACTGCTGTGCTCTTTCTGTATTACTCCAAACCTCACAGCCTAAACTCAAGCCAGCAGGCTCGTGAGTCCTCTCCATTGCAGAAAGCTTCTCAGAAAATAAAGCAGCAATTCCTAAGTTATCCCTTCTCATTGTGCACATTTGCCAAATCACGTAGTTCTCAATTCCAAAAGGGAACATTAGCTCTGCAACATACAGCAAAGTAAAATCACCTGTGAAAAAATACCACAGAAAATGCGGCAGAAATGAATCTTTGCCTCAAAGACTTGGTCAGTGCCTGAGAGGAACTTGTAAGAGAAGAGAAACGAGTAATAAAAAAAGAAAACGACCTGCAGATTTGGCAATCTTCTCTGCAAAGGTCAAATACCAGAAATAGCAAGGGATCTGAACAGCAATAGATGAAATCTTGCGCTGTTCTACTACAAACAATGCAAACAGACCCTCCCTTTATTTTCACAACTATCAGCAGTGCAAGAACAAGTTAAGAATAAACCTGAAGCTCTGGACAGTGGAAAGCAATCCACGCATGCAACATCGTGTGCTCAGCATTTTAAAACAAAAACAAAGAGCAGTGTTGGTTGAGGAGAGCACATCAGTGCTGCACCTCACTAATGCGAAACGCCTTTGGAGACCTCTCCTCATTGGCACCACTTCACAACAGAACAGATCAGCCAAATGATCTAAGAAAGGAGGTGAAGCACAGCAATCCCATCAGGCACGCAGAATTCCTACAGGATATGCACTGCTGTACTTGGTTTTGTTATTGTACCGAAGCAGTAAGATGAGGTGTTTTTCCAGCATTCCCATAAAGGCATTTTTAGGGCAAAGAGGACAGCATCTCACCAAGCACACAGGAAGGGGATATTGTGCACCAGAGGCTAAGCTAAAGTGCAGAGATGAGACGTAAACTGCCAAGAGAATTATTTCATGCTTTTAAATCGCTACGTCTTGTTTCCAAACAAAGCACAGCAAGAATAAAGCTCCTCGTCTCCTCAATTTGGCATCTGTAGCACCGAGAAAAATACATTGAGAAAGCAGACGGGAGGAAAAAAAGATAACAGCACTGCCACAACAAATTCTGCAAAGAGAACAAAACCAAGCAAACAGAGATAATAAACTGTCTGCATTCCACTAAATGAATTTAATCCTACCAGCACGGAAATGGCCTTAGCAGCACTGATTAGAGGAAAAAGTACAAATCAAGGAGAGAACAAAGGGAAGCAGTCACAGGAGGTTGTACGTAATTGTGATAATGCTCACATTATTAATTTTAGAATCACAGAATCACAGAACGGCCTGGGCTGAAAAGGCCCACAATGCTCATCCAGTTCCAACCCCTGCTGTGTGCAGGTCGCCAACCAACAGCCCAGGCTGCCCAGAGCCACATCCAGCCTGGCTTTGAATGCCTGCAGGGATGGGGCATCCACAGCCTCCTTGGGCAACCTGTGCCAGTGCCTCACCACCCTCTGGGTGAAAAACTTCCTCCTAACACCGAACCTAAACCTCCCCTGTCCCAATTTAAAATCATTTCCCTTGTCCTATCGCTATCCACCCCTGCAAACAGGGTTCCCCTCCTGTCTATATGCACCCTTCAAGTACTGGAAGGCCACAATGAGGTCTCCCCCACAGCCTTCTCTTCACCAAGCTAAACAAGCCCAGTTCCCTCAACCTCTCCTCACAAGAGAGCTGCTCCAGCCCTCTGCTCATCTCAGTGCCCTCCTCTGGACCCGCTCCAAGAGCTCCACATCCTTGGACTGGGGGCCCCAGGCTTGGACGCAGCACTGCAGATGGGGCCTCACAAGAGCCAAGTAGAGGTGGACAGTCGGCTCCCTCTCTCTGCTGGCCTCCCCTTTTTAATTGCAGCCCAGAACACGGTTGGCCTTCTGGGCTGCAGGCACACACTGCTGGCTCTTAGCTTCAAATCTAAATCAAAAGTATCAAAATACGATGCTCAGATAGCTGAGCTTCTTTCTCCAGAACAAGTTTCAAACCTTCTTTCAAACGGATTGTTTCTAATCTCTGCTCATCCGCTGCCACACACACGACAGACCTACAAATTGAGGGGCAGCCACTAAGTCCTCTGCCACCTAAATCCAACTCAGACATGAAAGCGGGGTGTGACTGAGCACTGATTGCCGAAGGAGGTTTCCCAGCAGTGACCTCACCAGGTTGACGCTGTAATGACACCCATGTGCTGGGGTGGTCCAGCATAAAAGAGGAGGGCACAGTAATAGAAGGATACTGGGCTTCACTCTTAGGGCTGCTCCTAAAAGAAGATGAGAGAACCTACAGCAGACACATTCCTACCTCATAAAGACAGGAGATTGCGCAGGAAAAGTCAAATTAGAGATAGAGATAAATTAGATTGGAGAATGGCTGCTGGGAAACCCGTCCTAGCAAGGCCCTCAACTTCCAAGAGTCTGCCTGCAAAGCCACCACAGCCAGCCAGCCTGCCTCAAACCATAAGAATCCAAGTCTCAGCCTTCTGCATTTGTGCTTATCTCACACCACAGAAGAATCCTTTCCTTTCTCTTATGAGCACTTCCCATTGCAGACATCACATCGACCTCGATTTTTGTAGCCGCAAATGTAGAACAGGAGAGAAAGAACTAATTAGTCTCTCAATTACACAGGATCAGCAGCAGCTGGAAATCAGATGTGTAGGGTACAATACACTACTGGGTGCAGTATTAACTCTGCCTCCATTCACAATTCCACAATACAGTCGTTATCAGCTACAAGCTGATATCAAAGCTCTCTCTGAACCTGCCTCCTCACTAACAGCATTTTCTTTTGTCAGGAGAATCAGCAAGGTGTTCAGCTTGGCACTAGGGCTGAGATGGCCTGCACACTGATAAGGAAGACAGAATTGAAGCTATTTATCCAAATGGGAGGCTGGACTTGAACCAGATGTTGGCCTACAAACACTGTCTAGCCTGATGATGGCCAAGCAGCTGCAACATTTACTCTTTAGTTTCTGAATGTGTGTGCTACTGGACCAAATGCAAAAGGCACAGGAACACTGCAATCCGTGACCACAAAGTGCTTCAAGGTCCCTTCGAGCCTGGGATCACAATGCAAGACTCCTAACAGCAGTGACCTGCAGTGCCATTTTGAATCAAAAGAAAGCACCACACAGGCAGGCAACCCCAGGATCCAGCCTACAGAGGAAGGCAAAGAGGAAGAATTACTTACGCAGCTGCATGAATAATTCAGTGGCTCTGAAATGAGAGTATTTATTTCCTTTGAATTACACACTGCTACTCGGTATCAACATCCCCATATAAAAAAAAAATGGAAATGTGGAGACTCTTCCCACAGACTGGTAAATTTTGCTGAAATTCTTCCAAGGAATTTATTTCTACATCACAGAGGAAGCCTGGGAAACTTCAGCCTAAACTTAGCAGCAATCAGACTAAAAGGATACAAAGACACTTAGCTACAGCAGGAAAAATAGCTCCTGCCATCACACACTGGTGCCAAATTACCTATAATGAGATGAAATGTTTTATTTACCAGGAGATTTCAGAAGTTCTTTCACAACAGTAATTTCACTTAAGCACCCTCATTCTTCAAAACAAGGCTATTATGTTTTCAGGACGCTTTTCTTAAAAACCCAAGCCTAACTCAGTACTGCAGTTCACATCTCCACTAGGAGTGCTGCTGGGAAGCTGATAAGACGTTCTCAGCTAAGCCCAGACGTGGCAGCTCTACTTTCCAAAGAACATTCCTGTGCCTGACCACTTCTAACTGCACCAACATCCCCAGTTCCAGACGTGTTACGCAAGGAAAACAACTGCAAAACCCAAGTGGAGGAAACAGCATCGCTGTCTTCCCCTCATTTGCTTCCCCAGGAATGTGCAAGTTCCGAAGGTATCCCCACCAATCACACCCTGCAACATCCCCGTTTGATATTTAGCTAATGCAGAACATCACCACATCAACATGATTTGTCAGAGCCTCTCCAGTATCAAAGCAACAGTGGAAACTGGAGATCCCTGTGTGCCCGTGACAGTTCACAGACGATGGGTTTCCAAAACACACTCTTTGTGCACGACAGCTGGCAGGCTCTGGTGAACCATTACCATGCCCTAAGCTCGCTTTTCAGTGCTTCACAGCAGACAAA